TGCCGACAGCTAAACAATGTCTAAGTATTTTACACACATATTCTATGGCCCAGTGTGTTATAAATATTACGTTACGAAAAAATATGTAATTAATTCGGTGATATGCATTGCACAGCATGTTAAGGCTTGACAAATATTCTGTGATTTCGATCACTCGCAACCTGGACAACTGGTAGGGCATATGACGTGTTGATTTACATGAGCCTCACCCATGGTGGGCGTGTGACGTGAGTTTACCCTCGCGCTGCAGTCAAACATGACTTGAGTAATATAAGCGTCGGGACAGAACAGAAACAAGTGAAAATCTTCATTCCTTATATAATACACTGAAACCTCAGTTGAAGGTCAGTACTTCATGAAGATATACTACTCAACATTTGCTAAGGGCCATTGCCAACTTTCGTCAAAGGTGTGGTTCTTAGTAACTGTTGAGTAGAATGTGTGAAACCAACTTCTATATGTTTGTTTGTTTGCTTTTTGTTTAACGCCCCACTCAGCAATATTCCAGCTATATGACGGCGGTAGGCATCATGAGCATTGATATAGGCAATTGGGATCGATGACATGCATCTACAAAGTCAGCGAGCCTGACCACCCGATCTCGTTAGTCGCCTCTTACGATAAGCATAGCCGCCTTTTACGGCAAGCATGGGTTGCTGAAGACCTTTTCTCTACACGGATCTTCACTGGGATAAAACAATTTAAAAGAGATGTATACGAAGCGTGACATACATGAATAACGGTGTTATGTGTAGCTGCTAAAAAAAGAGTTACTGAACAATTTACATGCTGTGAAATGTGCAGTTATGTGCAGGCTGCGACATTTGGTGCAGCTGTTTGACAGGTGAGCTGCACAGAAAGTGACATCGGATGATATACGCCAGGATGTCAGTCTGCCTTGATATACAGTGAGTAGGCCCTGATTATCATCGTTATTGCCAGCAGCAGCAGTGTGATTTATAAACACTGATATTGTTTTAATGTTTAAATATTGATACAGAGTTGTCCTTTGCTACAGTCTTGCGGGGAAGCCTAGTGGTAAAGTGTTCGTTGATCAAGCCGCAGTTCACACATAGGTACAAATAGCGAAACCCATTTCTAGTGACCTTCACATTAATATGGCTTAAGTACAGACTGTTCAGTTCCGTTGCGTTTTTAAGTTTTGGCTGCACTAAGAAGTTTTCTAGCTATATGACGGCTTTCTGTAAATAATCGAGTCTGGACCAGACAATTCAGTGGTTTGACATCATGAACATCGATCCACGCAATTGGGATACGATGACATGCATCAACCAAGTCAGCGAGCCTGACCACCCGATCCCGTTAGTCGCCTCTTACGACAAGCAAAGTCGTATTTTACGACAAGCATGGGTTGCTGAAGACCTATATATCAGTAGTGCGCAATGCCGCCACGATTTGTCAAACATTCTTTCACTTGACGAGGCATACTGCGTATGAGTCTCCCTGTGGCAACTTGAGGGTGTCCGCCCCACTCCTTTTGCATCGCCTGGCCAAGGTCAGCCAACGTGGTCGGCGGCCTATGACGTTGACACACGCATCGTCCTATCATGTCCCAGACATGTTTAACGGGGAAAAGGTCTTGGCTCATTGCTGGCCATGACATTCTATGGACGTTGTGCTGCTGGAGGTGAGCGTTGGCGATTCGTGCACAGTGAGGACAGGCGTTGTCGTGCTGAAAGGACGAAACCTCGACAAACACGCCTTGCAAACGGGACAACAAAGGATATTAGTATGTTGTCCTGATAGTCCAATGACCCTTCTTACACAATATGGAGTTGGAGTCGCATAGTCATAGTGATGCCGCCCCACACCACATCCGATGAACCACCAAATATGTCAAGAAGTCTCAGGGTGACATTGACTTGACGTTCATGTCGACGTAGCTAGCCACGGCCGCTCCTGTCGAGGAAGTGAATCGAGACTCATCTGAAATCATGACACAGGACCAGCGACGATTACCCCCGTCTCGACGTTGTGTACGCCATTAACGTCTGTTGGCGTTATGACGATTTGTAAGGGGCGGCACAACACGTGGCCGTCGAGCATGGAGTTGAGCTGCATGTCGACGATTTCTAATCGTCTGACCCGTAACTCGTAATCCACGTTTGCAGCAATTTAATTCGCCGTTTGAGCTCGATATCGTAGAGCCTGGCTTCGGATCAATTGATCCTGTAGTCTTGTTGACCTGGGACGCCCTAGAACTGGGCAAACATTTTGTGTCTGTGTACTTGTTCCATAGTCTGCTAATCACAAACTGAAACATTGAACGTAGTGGCCACTGCACGCTGCCTTTGTGAGGTCCCAGCGCGCCAGTGTGCCTTTGACGCCGTCCTTGTTCACACACAACAATGAATGGAACCAGGTAAACCACAGCTGTGTGATAAGCAGAATCAATAAGATTGACAGAAATATTGGTCCACAGAGATTAATCGACCTTCCTCTAAAGTGTCTAAATCAGGAATGACACCCAACGCACGACTCAGATGTGTGTTGGTTTTACACACATAAACGTTATACAGTAAACTACGGTTATAACGAACACGCTTATAACGAACTGACGGATATAACGAACTTACCTTTTAGTCCCGACTATTTGCTGTAGTTATGCTGTATATATGCTTATAACGAACTACGGTTATAACGAACTAAATATGGTAGTCCCTTTAAGTTCGTTATAACCATAGTTTACTGTACATACATAAAACGTTCATGCATAGGATGTTTGTCGTCAACACTTATCTTTGATCTAACACTTGGTGTTAAGATTTATAGTTCATGATCCCCTACATTCTTGGAATAGTATATAATATAGATCTAATAGAATAGGCACCTTGTCGATTATGTTTAGCCAGATGACATGCTGTTTGAAACTCATTTAGTCCATGAATGAATATTCCATTGCGACTGATTAAAGAAAACGATTCAAGTTTATTCTTCAGTGCTGTGTGAAAAATACATATGTATAAGGTCGGTTTACAATCAAGGCTGGATGACTGGCATAACATTCCTTCCCAAATTATCGATTTTGTTCTCAGGGAGCTTTGCATACGCCACGTCGCAGTTGCGGGAAATCATGTATGTATGTGCCTGCGTGTGTGTTTGTATGTGTGGGTATTGCTTGTCGTAAGAGGCGACTAACGGGATCGGGTGGTCAGGTTCGCTGACTTGGTTGATGCATGTCATTGTACCCAAATTGCGTGGATCGATGCTCATGATATCAATCATTGGATTGTCTAGTCCAGACTCGATTGTTTACAGACCGCCGTCATATAGCTGGAATATTGCTGAGTGCGGCGTAAAACAACAAACAAACAAACAATCTCTCGTCTAGCGAAAGGATGTTTCTTCAATGAGTTGATGCAATCTCTCTGTTTGTTTAACCTGTGGCCAAACCAACATAATGCCCACATTTCATGTCCGGATAGATACTATCCCTTTTGCTAGATCCGAGATCCTACACAGAGACAGATAAGTTTAATGGATATCAGAAGGAAATCCTGAAAATAAAACAATGAACCAAACAATACATGCAAACAGGATATTTACAAAGTTCTATTTTTATTTCCTTTGTGTCAGTTTCAAGGATGAAATAAAGCTACTAGAATTTGTTCTTGACTAAGACAGTGTTATCCCAAATACAAATTGTGTTACATAAGGATGAAGAAGACATCGGTGATTTTCAACTCGCCAACTTTCTTGAAGACTTGTTTTAATTTAAGATGCTCAGAAGGCATCCATATGTAACATTTTTCTATGTTAAATGAAATCAGTATCTCTACATATATTTAATCAACTGGCACAGTGTCTACAGTCATTTAACTTGTCCTTGTGATTTGTTCACGAGCCCATTTGGCCATTTGTCGCATTGCCGCGCTTTGAATTATATAATTCAATATTTTTCCAATGGGCGACAATGCGACAACGCGACATATTTTGACCTTTAAAAAATGTCGCATTGCCGTGCTGTCGTGCTGTCGTGCTGTCGCGCTTTGGTTAATTTGGACACATTTTACTTGTTTTTGTAAGGGTGACAATACAACCGGGCGAAAATGTCCCTCATGGGATTCCATACAGTACTGTGTGTGGAAAGTTGGTGTGATGCATAAATTGGTGTCGCACATGCATATATTTGCACTGACAAATCTTTGTAAAGAATATCCTTATTCTTTCTTCACAAAAAAGTTCTTACTTGAATGATGACCAGTTTTAATACACTATCGATCAGATGCCGGTATGTTTATGCTCTGTGGGCATTTGTTTCTCATACTCCTTTCTGTTACTGATGTTTGTCTGTCAAAAGAAACAACCAAATACATGCCTGGATTTCTGCGTCAATGGAATTAACAAGCTTCGGGAGACAAGCGTTACATTTGTTTGTTTGTTTGTTGTTTATCGCAGCACTTAGCAATATTCCACCTACATGGCGGCGGTCTGTAAATAATCGAGTCTGGACCAAACGATCCAGTGACATCAAGAGCATCGATCCACGCAATTGGGACACGATGACATACATCAATCAAGTCAGCGAGCCTTACCACCCGATCCCGTTTGTCGCCTCTTACGACAAGCATAGTTGCTTTTTACGGCAAGCAGGGGCTGCTGAAGACCTATACTCCGGATCTTCACGGGTTAACGGAATCAATGACTTCATGAATTTGTCAAATCTTAGAAGGGGGTGCATTGAGAGCCGATGCAGTAATCCCGCCCATGTAAACGTCGCGACGTTTCCTAGCAACCACCGTATACATTAAAAATTAATTACTTGGTCCATGTTTCCAGTGTTTACCGCAGTTGTTGACAAACAAACCCCGCCCGCTGAGACAGCAACCACCCCAATAACAAGGCCTACTGCTTCCTGAATTCTCAAGTACAACCCTATTAATATATTAATAATCCTAAACATCAATGATCAAAACAATCCTCCTATCGGTCACTACGAAGGTCGCCTTTGCTCTGCCCAGTGGTCAAACAGGACGATTGTTTCGCAAGAAACGGCCGGTATTGATTGATTCGCTGAGCCGAAATTGACGCTGTGACGTCACGGCACACAGGTAAATCTACTTCCAGGTGTATAGGCCATAAGCTGCTGATTGTCACAGGTGATATTGCCCCCAATAAGCTTCATATCAAGGTAAGTCAGTTAGATAATTACACGATCTCATTTGTCTAAAACTCGAGCTACAGGTTTAAACAACGTAACGGGCAAGAAGACAACACAATTTAATCTTTGTAGGTCAGCCCGAGTTGGAGCGCATTTCAGCTTATCTAGCGGCTGTGTACTTGGGAGGAACGCACAGGTAATATCAGTCTTTTGACTACATATTTGACAGAAACTGTCATAATGTTTTCAAATGTAATGATTTGGCAAAGCAGGTGATCGTGTTCTCGTATTAACACTGATTTTGTGCAAACTTGACATTTAGGACCATAGAAGTGTGTCAACATTTCTCTGTACTTTTTTTAACAAGCTGTGGCCATTGTGGCAGTCCCTTGCGGATAGAAAAGTTGTGCTGCGTAGTTAGCTTTGTGGGACCATAGAGATTGTGATCATGGTGATTATGTTTGAGGAACACAATTGACTGCACACGCAGTTCACAGCAAGCGAACTACTGCCTCGGTCTTTTAAATAACTCGATAAATACCCTTTACTGTTCACGCATGTAACGTTGTATATTTACTCAAGAAGTACATGTTCTTAACCCGATCGTATTACTCTGCATATAATCAAATATGCATTGTTTGAATGTTTGTGACATTTTTCAACATTGTAGTCTGCTAAAATAATGCAAGAATTGACGGCCGGGGTGTTTTGAAAGTTGATAATGGCGACCACAGCCCGGGTGAACATGTTATCTCGCGGCTATCTCTACCCGTTACGTCGATGCGGTAAATATGCCTTAGACGCCCAGATCACACCCGGGACAAATGGAGGTATGGACGGTGATAGGACACAATCGATCCCAGCTCTCTGCCACACGTCTGGATATGGACTCGTACTTCTAGTTGCCCCGGCCCGTTATTGAACGACACGGAATTCCCTGCAGGGAGTTTCTTTGACCATCTTGACAGATTCTTTGACACCAAAGTACAATATTCGATAGGTACAAGCTCATAATGATGTCAATAACAATACTGGCGGCCCAGACTGTCATAATGTAGGTTTACATTTCACATCTTTTATCTAAGGGGATGAACATTTTTTCTTTGGCTGTTTAGAAATATGAACTGGCTAAGTGTTTCTGGTTGTTGAGTGTGTAGACACAAGGGTTATTTTCACCAAGCGTAGATTAAGTGTTGATGGTTATGCTCAGTGTTTGACGAGGTACGTTGAATGGTGTCATATTGCAGATATGTTTGATGAGGTACAATGAGTTGTATCATATTGTAGTTATGCTCAGTGTTTGACGAGGTACGTTGAATGGTGTCATATTGCAGATATGTTTGATGAGGTACACTGAGTTGTGTCATATTGCAGATATGTTTGATGAGGTACAATGAGTTGTATCATATTGTAGTTATGCTCAGTGTTTGACGAGGTACGTTGAATGGTGTCATATTGCAGATATGTTTGATGAGGTACACTGAGTTGTGTCATATTGCAGATATGTTTGATGAGGTACAATGAGTTGTATCATATTGTAGTTATGCTCAGTGTTTGACGAGGTACGTTGAATGGTGTCATATTGCAGATATGTTTGATGAGGTACAATGAGTTGTATCATATTGTAGTTATGCTCATTGTTTGACGAGGTACGTTGAATGGTGTCATATTGCAGATATGTTTGATGAGGTACAATGAGTTGTATCATATTGTAGTTATGCTCAGTGTTTGACGAGGTACGTTGAATGGTGTCATATTGCAGATATGTTTGATGAGGTACACTGAGTTGTGTCATATTGCAGATATGTTTGATGAGGTACAATGAGTTGTATCATATTGTAGTTATGCTCAATGTTTGACGAGGTACGAGTTGTATCATATTGCATAAGTGCTCAATGTTTGACGAGGCACAGTGAGTTGTATCATATTGCAGCTATGCTCAATGTTTGACGAGGTACGAGTTGTATCATATTGTAGCTATGCTCAATGTTTGACGAGGTACGAGTTGTATCATAGTGTAGTTATGCTCAATGTTTGACGAGGCACAGTGAGTTGTATCATATTGTAGTTATGCTCAATGTTTGACGAGGTACGAGTTGTATCATATTGCATATGTGCTCAATGTTTGACGAGGCACAGTGAGTTGTATCATATTGTAGCTATGCTCAATGTTTGTTGCACGGAAACTCTCACATGCAACACATCGCGATGCGTATCCGTTTCGCAAGGTTTCTTAACGAAACTCTTCCTCGTGTCAAATATCTGGTTTTGTTGGTTAAGCTGAATATGGAGCTAATATCGATACAAACTCCCAGCCCGCAACCCGCACATACATCTGCTTCACATGTTCCAGATACCAATACACACATTTACCGTCAAGCATCATATATGAACCAGTTCGCATACTCCTGTGTGACAATGGTTCTCAATACCAAGACCTGTCAAGCATCATGTATGAACCAGTTCGCATATTCCTGTGTGACAATGGCTCTCAATACCAAGACCTGTCAAGCATTATGTATGAACCAGTTCGCATACTCCTGTGTGACAATGGTTCTCAATACCAAGACCTGTCAAGCATCATGTATGAACCAGTTCGCATACTCCTGTGTGACAATGGTTCTCAATACCAAGACCTGTCAAGTGTTATGTATGAACCAGTTCGCATACTCCTGTGTGACAATGGTTCTCAATACCAAGACCTGTCAAGTGTTATGTATGAACCAGTTCGCATACTCCCGTGTGACAATGGTTCTCAATACCAAGATCTGTCTAGAGCGACCACCCGTAGAGCTGGAAGGTCCGGGGTTCGATCCCCGGTCGCGTCATAACAAAATAATTTAAAAGATGGTACTTGTTGTTACCCTGCCTAGCGATCGTCATTAAGGATTAAAACAAGGACTAGGCGGCTAGGAGTCAGTATACTGTGTCTGAGTGGGGTATTCATGTTACCTGCATGGTATATCAGGTAACTCAACTGCGGCATGGTATCTCAGTGGGCTGGCACTGAAGAAATCGGCATTAGTCCAGACTAGCACTATTTTAAAAAACCTAAAAAACTTTTAGGTCAAGCGGTGGTCGTGTTTTTTCAGGTGAATAACTCTAAAAGCACACGGAAACGTCTCGTCTTAACCTGTAGGGCACATCTTTCCCCATTGTCACCTTTACCCTCGTGTTTCCTGAATCGGGAACTTCTTTCACCCGGAAACCCGCAAGGAACTCACCACAGTTTAAACACCGTGCGTATTGTCCTCCATACCTTCATAAACAGTAACGACTGATTAGGATGTAAATCTTTTCAACGAGGGAGGAATGCAGTTATACATAGAACATGTTGTTAGATCCTTTCCTGTCACACAACGGTTGTATTGTTAAAATGTATTATACTTATTCGAAAACTTTGATTAAAATAAAATAAAACAGCAAACTACGGTTATAACGAACACGCTTATAACGAACTAACGGATATAACGAACTAACTTTTTAGTCCCGACCATATGCTGTAGTTATGCTGTATATATGCTTATAACGAATTACCATTATAACGAACTAAAATTAGTAGTCCCTTTGAGTTCGTTATAACCGTAGTTTACTGTAATATTTCTTTCGAAATGGAATTAAATAATTTAAATATGCCTTCAATTTTCAAGTGTTTAGATATTTCACAAGGATTTTTGCTCAATTATTAAAGGAATAAAACGAAGCCATATTTGAAACACACACACAAGACTAAGCATCTTGTAAATTAAACCTTATATCGGTTATAGTCAAGGTATAAAACGACTGAAATTTTCACTTAGGCAATTTACAAAACGCTTACATATTTCATTCATTTTAGGAAGCCTTTTTAAACTTATATATATGTTCTAGTCAATCTGTCAAATTAAATACAGGTTTTTCAGTCGATTTGTAAAATGATCTTAATATTTTTAAATTGCCTAAGTGATTCACCTTTGAAACACATTGACTGAAACATGTGTACGTATATATACCTAGAACCAATACACTCTTCAAAAAAAGAAACGCAGAGGTAGATTTTGAGTAAATTTATTGTACCTTATAAAATCGCTATATTTAATTTAATATCATAGATACAAAGATACAATTTTAGAGCTCGATAGTCACATGTTGTCGTTGTACAAAAGCATTGAAAACTGTTCGTTATCATGTCACATAAGGCCACGTGTGACCGCCCCGGGCAGCAATCACGGCTCTGCATCTCCTCGGCACTGACTGGATAAGTGTACGAATTCCGTTCTGCGGAATTCTGCGCCATTCTGCTTGTAACGCCTTGGTCAGTTGTGGGAGTGACTGCGGACTGTCTTCCATCTCGCCGGTGAAGAAGAAATCGTGATTCATCGCTAAACTACACTCATCTCAAGTTTCTCAAATACCAAGGCTGTAAGGTATGGCACGAACGTTAACGCAAGCGTCGCTGTCGATGGATCTGCTGCAAAAGAGGGACGATAACTGGTCTTCTGGGTCGGATTCCAGCCTCGCAAAGATGGTTCCTGACAGGGTGCTCCGATATCCTCCTTAAACCAAGGATGCGTACTGCAGTCTCCGTAGCTGTGGCATTGCGATGACGTAGGTGGAACAGACGAATGTAGCGACTTTTACCGGATTTTTTATGTAGTCAGGTTCAATGAACTACATACTACCTGTGCGTTTCGTTTTTGGAAGAGTGTATGTCTCAACCCATGGTATATTTGCGTGGTTGTCAGCCTGAGGGGCGTCCACCGCGTACCCGGATACACACGCGCGTGCTGCACCAACCGGAAAGGTCATTGTGACCTAGACATTGAGAAAGGGCCTACCTTTATCTAACATCGCTGTCATCGGGTGTGCCCTCACGCCCAGACAAGATTCTTATTAATAACTGTCGAGCAGGAAAAATAATATCGTATTCGGTTTATGTCAAGTAGTGAAATTTTTTTTGAGAAACATGACACACAAGTGCTAGTCATATATTTATACAAACAGAACTCATGGGGCGAGGGTGTTCATGTGTAAACCATGGGACGAGTGTG